CGGCCTCCGCGGCGGGTGTCAGCGCTGGGGGCTGGTGGTCACCTCAGTGTGAGGGGTCAGTCTCCCTGGCCGGGGTCTGCTCCGACCCTCCCGGGCGGGAGGGGCCGGCAGAGCTCGCCCGGCCTGCGCAGGCTGTGGAGGGAGCGGTACCGCCGCTGCCGAGAGTCTTTATTCTGGTGGTTTATTGATAAAGAGCCAGAATAGGGTGGTTAACACGCACCGTTACGCCAAAAGGCCTCTGCAGTTCAGCTTCATTTTAACAGGCACCTTTGAAAAAAGTGGGATTTCAGGTAACAGCATGCTGGTACCCTCAGAATGTATGTGGAAACTATACTTTACCTAAAGGGAACCCCCAAACCTATGGCCACCAGAAACTTCAGCAAAATATTAGTAAGCGACTTACCAACCCGAGGTAAATTCTTAATTGCTTGTTTATTTGATGATAAGAGTAAGTCCAAACCAATGGCTCGTGAGCAGTCTAATAATACATATACCATGAGGATACAGCATTTTTGAAGCGTGCCTCTGCTAGCTTTACATTTCTGTTTTAATTCCAGGATGAGTACTGAGGTGTTGGCCCTTCTGATGAAGGTGCCTTTTAACATAGGCAGTGGTCAGCGCCAGAGCAAGTGACCAAGTTAACGTTGCCAAATGGAATTTCTCACCCTTCCAGGACATCACATTTGGTATCACTCCTGCCTCTGAGCCAAATGTAAGGTATACATCCATTCAGCTCTCAGTGTGCCCTTTGAGAGTAGTTGTAATGAGTATCTGCTGTCATGTTGCCTTTGAACCGTGTCGGTAGGAACTGCCTTTGCCGAACAGGCCAAGGGCTGAACTTTAGAACCCTGTCAGCGAGTGCAATTACAGCACTAATGGCGCTGTGAGTTTGTCTTATCTACAGTCTGCATCCATGGCATGTCTTGCTGCTGATAATCCCCACAGAAAAGTAATTCTTGGCCCTTGCCCTGCTGCAACGGGTGCAATAAAATGTTGAGGGAGGTGCGTTGGGTCCTTGGAGTTGTACATCTTCCTCATTGTTCATATATCATAACATGGGGTGGGATCGGGCTAAAAAGGCTCAATTCAAGGAGTGCCTCACCTCTGGCACGTCAGTTTTATCACAGTTGGATCAAGACAACATGGGTGATACACCACCTATATCATGGGTGCAGCTAAAATGGATTAGGTAAAGCTAGCTCTAGTACATCTAGTGAGCAAGACCAAGATTTTCCTGCAGAGGTACCACCGTGGCTGATGATCTCATCCTCGGAAATGAGTTTTACATTTAAATGAAGACCAAAAGAGCTCTGACACTCTCTGATTTTTGTAACTGAATTTTCTCGTTTTATTTCTTTACAGATGTTGTATGTAGGAGTGCAGGCGGTCGAGATGCTAAAGATACAGGGTCATGTATAATTCTGCAGTGCTGCTCTCCATGGTGTCTTTGTTCTGAAGCTCGTGACCAGATGTTTGGATAGATGTAGTTGCTAATAGCACTGGTGAGGGATATCACAGACAATCTGTATGCCACAATCTGTGAGAACTTTAAGCATGTGTGAGGGGACCAGTGTGTCTTCTATCTTCTCCATTGCCTTCTCTTCCTTTTCCTACAGTAGTCCCCTTCCTGCTATTTGCCATTTCGTCCTTTTCTACCTCATTTAACCTTAAGCATTTTAAAAAGCCTAAAACTATAAAACCAGTATGCCTTTCTTTGTTGGGATACCTGTATTGCTATGCATACAACATGGCAAACGTGCCTTGGAGGTTGTACCCAGCTGGTGTTAGAATCTGAGCTGTTTACTGATGCAAGCCCAGAGCCTTCCTTGTTCTGCCCATCTTCCTCCTGCACGTCAGTGATCTCCTCTGCATTTGAATTCCCTTCCATCCCCATGTACAACCACACAGGAGACGTGAAGGTATCCAGAGTTTTTTAAAGAGTTTTTTAACTTTTTTTTTTTTTTTTGTTAAAGTATGGCTTAAAATTTCTTTGCCATAGGATTCCCTCCCTCCTGAATAACCTTTCCATTTTCCCTTTGCTCCCTGTGTCTGTTACCACATTTCAAGGGGCTGTAGCAGTCTCCCTGCATGCATGCATAGACCTTTGGCTTCTGGGCATTACAATTGACTTCTTGTTGAATTCTATGTTAGTAGTGCTTCCCCTGGAACAGAGTAAACCATGTGTAGTAAGGGAACTACCTTACTTGTGGCTTAATTCCATAGGCAGGTAGAGAGAGACAGGTGATGGGATATGCCACCTTATAGAGCTTCTTGCAGTGGTTTGGTGCCTGTACCTGTGAAGTGCTGGAGCTATTAGTGGGATTCTGTAGCTGAAGGAGCCATTCTCTTTTAGTGTGACTTGCTTGGTCATGCAAATCACAACACTTCTAACTCTGGCTGCTGTTTTCCCGATGCAGTAGTTAAGGTGGCACGTAGATACTGTTCAGCTCTTATTAGATACCCTCAGAGGACAGAGAGTCTTTTCTAAAGTAAATGTTCAGCGTGTTTGTGCAAAACAGCATGTGGATTGGATGTGATTTTTTTGTTTGTTTGATGAGAAGAGTATGTACATTGTGTTGGTTATTTTTGCAGTAGGTTTGGGTTTCAGAATGCTAGCAAGCTTTGCATGCAGAGCTGTAGAAAAATGCTTGTGAGATATTTCAGAATTTTAATTTTGGTGTAGTTCTGCTGCCTCTTCAGAAATGTGAAATTGCTTATTCATATATTAAAACAATACTGCTCCCTCTCTGTGCTGAAAAACCCCAGGAATCCTAGGACAAACCATGACCAGTGTCCATATGTTAGTATGATCTGCAGGTGATAATATCTCTGGTTGTTTTTGTAGATAAGAGAGGAGGTTACAAAGTCTTCATTTTCATGGTGCCTGTTGAAACATGAGTGTTTGATTTCCAGGCCTGACTCAGTCAGTTACAGAGTAGGTGCTCTGAGTCTGTCAAGAAATCCAGAGGATGAGGGAACTTTAGATGATGTCAGGCTATACTGAACTCTTAAAGTATTACCTGTCAGTCCAGTAGTGTATGGGTTCTACTTCCAGGAATATTTGCCTGGTCTTTCTATTGTATAGATTGTCATCTTGTCTTATCATCAAGGCCAACATGCACATTTTGAGGAGTATATGTTATAAAATCTTTTTTTAATGTTGTGATTGTTAGCAATTCACATTAGAAACACATGTTCTTCAAATACTTGGTGCACTTTGCAAAGGGATTTCCAGCACATGTAAAAAGGTACAGGGGGGGGCTGGGAGAGGGGAGAAACTATTGTGTCTTGAAGAGGTTGTGATAATCTGTGCATTGTTCTGTGGCAGTATTTTTCTAGTTCTGGAAAGTATACAAAATCTAACTTTCAACAAGCAACATGGCTTGAGAGTTGTTTTATGCAAATTTTTAAAACCACTCTGTTCATTGGCACAGCCAACTAATGAAACAACTTTTCTAAGTCTGGTGGTTGTTTTAAAATAAATATGTTAGGCTCTAAAGATTTTGCTTAGTTTCCGAGACTGCACAACAGAGCCCATTCTGAGATAATGCTTTGTAAAAGGTGAAAACACAAACACAATTGCTGCTACAACTGCAAACTCTTTTTAGGATACAGAGCTCCTGGCTCATTTTACTGTGTTTCTTCAAGTGGTAGATGGAACCTCTTTTGGATACAGTTGACATTTTTGCTTCCCTTCTAAACAAAATAAATTGCTATCTGAAAAGCTGTGAATAAATCCTAGGATAAAATTTCTTTTCCAGAAGTGGATTTTTCTTTTTCCCTTGCAACTCATGATTTTGAATTTTAGAGCGCATTTCAAAGGGATGCACTTAGGTTTATCCATTCTTGCCCATATCCGTCTCTTGAGTACCTTCAGATCATAGAATCACAGAACAGTTTGGGTTGGAAGGGACCCCTCAAGGCTATCTAGTCCAACCCCCCTGCAGTCATCAGGGACATCTTCAACCAGATCAGGTTGCTCAGAGCCCCCTCCAGCCTGGCCTTGAATGTTTCCAGGGATGGGGCTTCTATCACCTCTCTGGGCAGCCTGGGCCAGGGTTTCACCACCCTCCAGTGTAAAAAATTTCTTCCCTGTATCTAGTCTAAATCTCCCCTCTTTTAGTTTAAAACTACCACCCTTTGTCTTGTTGCTGCAGGCTCTGCTGAAAAGTCTGTGCTGATCTTTCTTGTAGGCCACCTCTAAGTATTGAAAGGCTGCAATAAAGTCTCCCTGGAGCCTTCTCTTCTCCAGGCTGAGCAACCCCAACTCTCTCAGCCTGTCCTCACAGCAGAGCTGTTCCAGCCCTCTGATCACTTTTGCGGTGGACTCTGGACCTTCTCCAACAGGTCCATGTCTTTCTTGTGCTGCGGACTCCCAAGCTGGATGCAGTACTGCAGGCAGATACTCAGTTGCATTTCTTATGCAACAACCACTCAGCAATCTTGCTGACTGGAGGGTCGTGAAGGCTGTTTTGGGAGGATATTTTGGAGTTTTTTGGTGCAGGCATGATGAAGGTGGTTGCCTGTCTGAGGTGAAATTCTGTATTGTGCTGTAATTATGGGTGGAACAAATAGTAGCATCTGATCAGCATGGAGTGCTACAGAGGTGCTACTTCTAATAATAGAGACGTGCTCTTTCTATGCCACTAGTATAGAAATGAATCAACAGGACATATATTTCTATTTTAGTGAGAAATGCAATAAACTTGGTACTAACTACTTTAACTTCTTAGCATTGTTGGAAAGACGACTTATCAGTTATTTAGAAAGGGAGTGTCTATGTAATCTTCCATAGTTGAATGATTGGTTTATTGGGTGTAACTTTTAATGTCAAATCCCAGTACTGTGTTGGCCTTGAGCAGAATTAGACCCAGGAAATCGCCGGGTGGCTAGAAAAAGAGGAATGCAAGCAAACCTCTGCTAAGGGTTTTGTGTAGGAGCTGCCAATTTCAACTCTTGTGTACGTACTGACAGCAATACAACTGAGCAAATACACATCAGGACAGCCTCTTTACTATTTCTGGCAAAAAAAAGGAGGGAGGGGAAATAATTAAAAGCTGTCTCTCTTAAAACTAAGCTCTGAAGGAAGTGCTTCTCTTCTAGGTATACTGCAGCATCCAGATGGGACTGTCCTGAAGCAGTTGCAACCACCACCTCGTGGTCCCAGGGAGCAGGAGTTTTACAACAAGGTGAGGGTCTGGTGGTGTGGAGGGAGCTGCCTTGCTGCAGGTGAAATGATGTGTGTGATTCCTCTAGAAGTACATCCTTATTGTTGTGGTTCGGAAAGTGCAGCCTGAAAGTGCAAATATCTGAATGGCAGGTGAGTGACAGTCCTGTCATGGTATCTCTGTGCATCTACAACATTTTCCTCTTTGAATGTCCCCCCCACCCCAGTGCCAGACCTACTTCACCCACAGGATTTAAGCTTGCTTATTTGCTCATGGGACAGCGGGCTTTTCATAGCATCTAAGATTTTATGGAAAAGCCTTGAATGATCTTATCTGTGATTAAAGGGTGGTATGTTTAATCCCATCTTTCTCATGTTGCTGAGTGTCTCGGAATTGGTTGCATCTAAATTTAGCATGTCTTGCACTCCATCTAGTCTGGCTTATTGCTAGAAGTATTGCTCTGTTCACTGTGTTAAAACTCATCTTCTTTAAAAAGTCAATAAAAAGTGAAACTCTCCAGTTGTTTTAACTTTAGTTTGCTATGTTTTTCCTGTTGCTTATCTTCAGTTTGCTTTATCAGTAACTTGAATAACACAAACCAGGAACGCTATTGCTTGTTGTCTTATGAGGGTAAACTCTTTTTAGAGCCTTTTTCCTTTACTGACCTACCTTCTTGTGATAGTCCGTTGCGTGTTTTTTCTATATCCGCTTGATATGTCATCCCTTTCCATGGCTTCTTAGGTATGAAGAACTGTAGAAATCTTAATGCAGGATGAGAGAGGAGTCTTGAGACTTTCTTTTTGTTGTGTTGTTTAGTTTGTTTTTCTGTTTTCTTCCCCCCTGCCCTGGAAGGGTATTAAGTTACCACAAGACCTTACATATTTTTTGGAAATGTCTCACATTAAAACAGACTAAGCAACATGCTCTAAGTGAACGATGTGTTTGCATACTAGTGTTACTCGACAATTCTTGTTATGGGACTGCTGGACAAAACAGCAGCTCTTGAGTTAGTAGGAGCTCAGCAGGAGCCAGTTAAATCTAAATGTAAATATTTTTCTGAGTTTTCTCAGTGACTGTAATTTAGATGAGATTAAGAAAGATGCAGTTCAGCCTGAGCAGTAACTCTTCAGTAGGAGGAGAAAATTGAGCAGACTCCTTTGAGTATCAGGCTACTTACTCTTCTGTGAAATCCTGAGGTATGGACAGTAACGTGCTATTGCTGTCTAAAGCCAGCAGGTAAGAGGGGTGAGCTCAAACATTGCTTAGATGTTAACTGTTCACAGCACAGGCTTTATCACTTTGCTTGTTGCTTGGACTCGCATGACAAGCCCGGAGCAAGTCCCTGGGCAAAGTCTTTGAGGAAGAGAGGTCTGTATCGGTGCCATATACCCTGTCATACTGGAAGAAGTCAGGTCTCAGTACTAGTAACTTGCAAATTTAGTGTCAATTATATCTTCCAGGGCCTTGCTGAATTGCTTCTGATACTGGTATTTTTTTTTGGTTAAAAGCCATATGGGAAAGGCAGTGGGCAATTCTTGAAAAATAGTGGAGAAGGGGAAAGATGTATACACAATTAGTTGTGTGTGGACTGAAATGCCTTTGTGGGAGAAGGGAAGGAGAGCAATGCATGTATGTTATGTAGGTGAAAAGTACAAGAGAAAGATCTTAGGGATTTGTCGCTTCTCAATGATTAACTACTACCACATTTGCTCTCAGGCAAGAACCACGTGATGAAGGATATAGATTCCTAAGCACTACATATGGTTGTTAGAAGATGAGGATTACTGTGGATTGTGAGGTTCAGTGTAAGGTACAGTTTCATGTACAGGTTGAGCTGATAATTGCACATTGCTGCCAAGGGGGAAAGGCCTTTCTTGCCATTTACCTTGTACAGTGTTGGTGCTTTTGGTACACTGATGAACTGATTTGACTTATATAAAGATGACAAAACTTCCTTGTGTTGGTAGTCTTCTGTCAGTTTTAGTGATTAGACTGATAAGCAGTGGGAACAACAGCAAGTCTGCCCTGTTTTGGAGACTGAGCTCAACACATCTTGTAGTCTGTAATCAGAGAGACATTATCACCTTGGAGTAGGCTAATGAACCTCCAGAGAATGGAGGAAGGAGAATTTTACCAACCCTTGAGACAAGGGCTTGTTTACAAGGCAGTCAGGTACAGGAGATGTTGAGAAACACTGCAGAAATGAAACAAGTGAGGCAAGACTGATGAATCCCAGAATGTCACTTTGTCAGGACTAGACAGTGAGTCCGTTTATAAGATCAAACCAGATGGTTACCCATTAGTATATGTGGATTAATCATGACTTTTTCTATTTCCACACCTGTTTTTTCATAGGTGCTTATAGCTGTTCTGTCTGTAGTGATCAGTTATTACTTCCTTTGCATGCTACCTTACCCTGACCTGAATTAAGATTAGTACCCCAGTATGTGGGCCAGAAACAAGTGGGATTTTTTACTTCCGGGTGAAGCAAACCTCCTCAGCTGAAGCAGTTGGGAACCTCTGTAGTTTATGGTAGCAGGGAGGTGAATATGTCTCAGTTTGAGCTGTACAAGTCAGCTGGAGAGCAGCTATCACAGATCTGAGGCAGAAATGTCTTCAGATAACCAGCAGTGACTGGGAAGTGGTATTTCATCATGCAGTCTGAGTTCTCGTGAGCTGAAGGTTGCAGGGAATGTGTCATGATAGAGGATAATGAGGCATTAATGGACAAGTTTGAATATAACCTTGATAAATTTAACCTCATACCAGGTAGTTACTGTCTTCTGCCTGGACAGGACAATCTTCTCTTCTGAAACTGCTGGGTTTGCCTTCTGCTGGATGCTTGAACATGACACAGGGTCATAGTCTGTGTCAGTGAATTGCCATAAGTTTTTTCTTTTTGATAGTTATTTTCAGTTGAGCACAAAGCTGAGTACTGACCAGGAGAGCCCAGACAAAATGGGCTTCTATTTTGGAGTGAAAACTCAAGCAAGACTCTGATCTAAATCTTGGATCTATATGTCAGCCTGCCCAGAAGTGGATGGCAACTGAAGTTTTGAAGAATTTCACAGATCTTTGTCAAAGTGGAAAACCTCTCTTGACTGACATTAGATTGCCTTTTTATTCTCCTGATAGTATATGTTGAGTTCAGCAGTTTAAAAAATTAACAGCCTTTAAATACTAGTGGTCTTTCTTAAAAGAGTATTTTACCAAGTAAACCAAATGATACCTCTACTACAATAATATGTGGTATTCTCTACAGATGGGGAAATGGCTTGCCATGGTTCTGTTAATGAGGGAGGGCAAAAGTATGGATGACAAGAGTATGACAAGATTATCGTGAATACCTTCTATAATAAAATGTGGTAGAACAATGAGCTGTTTGTACTCATTGTTAATAACTTACTATGTATTGCTTAACTTATCACTGGAGTGTGACTTTCCACTTTCTATTGAGTTCTGTAAATATGAGTAATTATCAAGTCAAAATAATAATGTTTCAATTTTGTTCTTGCAAACTCCCTTCCTGTAACTGAGGGCATGAACTTCTTCCTAACATAGGCTGCATAACCATGGACTGTTTTACCACGTCTTCTGATACCCTTACCCCGTTAAATGACAGGGGTTTTTTAACCTTGAATAGGTACAAAATACTTTTTCAATAGCTATGTGCAGCAAAAGAAAAAGAAATTGGAGTAGAAGGGTTGTGGGTTTTTAAGGACTATCTATACTGATGATCAGTTGTTTCCATCTAATGGAAATACTCTGTGAGAACATGTAGGTGGAGGCGCTGTAAAAGGCTGCTTTTAAAGGAGTTTCAGGAGGAGCAGTATGCAGAGATGTGGAACCAGGAAAATAGTGTTGTTTGAAAATGCAGTGTAATGTATTATGTAGTAGTGACCTGTTTCCATTAAAGAAAACAAATTGGTAAAAGGCAGTGTCTGTTTAGGGTAGGCTGCCTACACACACATACTAAAAAATCCACCAAAAGTGGATTGCTACTCGGTGTGTTTTAGTATTTGGCTTCAGCCTGCTTTATGCCAGGGTGTATTTATATATGCTGAAAACAGTTTGATTTAATTCAGCAGTGTTGGGAGAGGGAAGAAGCCTATCAGCCCTCCTACAGTGATCTCTTCTGGCAGATGAGTTGGGAACTGAGAAAAGCATCTTTTGAAAAGGTTAGTGCAGTCGCTGTATGGGTAAAACCTCCCTGCTCAGCTGGGTACAGAGCTCTTGTCTCAAACATGCCAGGCTGTACCCAAGAGCACTGTATGCTAGCATGACTCTCTCTTCCTATTTAAGAGCTATCCTCTTCAGCACAGAGATTTTCTTAATTTGTCATGTCAAGAATGTAGCATTGCAGAAAATACTGTCCTGGTGGCGTCCTGAAGAGGAGGAGGAAGCTGGAATGCCAGGCTTTAAATAGGGCAGCTGCTTTTGTGGGCACTAAAAGATAGAACTTGGGCTGCAAGTACTTAAAACTGAGGAAGAGAGAATTGACACTTGTTGAGGTTACGTCATGACTACAGTTTCCTACAAGCTGGGTTTTTAGCAGTAGGAGACAGTGTTTCTTACGTTCAACAGAACAAGAGAAAGTCACTGGACTATTTTGAAATGGCAGCTCTTTCACTTCTGATTTCTAGCATTCACTTGGTGGGGCTGTAAACCTCTGCTGTGTGTACATGTTCTCAGCATGGCATACTGACTGAAGTTTTAGAGGTTGCTAAAGCAGTAGCTAATAAATTGGGATTTTATGCTTTAGACATCAATAAATGTTCCTGTAAACTTTTCTTTGAATTGTCTTTCTGCTCTACTACGATGACTGCGTGATGCTCGGGGTATGAGTAGTACACCTTCTTCTCTCACCCTGCCTGCCAAAAACTCTCCTGAGAATGCTTTTGCAGCATGGACAACTTCCAGCGCATATCTTCCCCACCCCCCACCCCCTCTTGCTAGTGGCTCCATATCAGAATTGTCATAGCTGGTTCTCATGATGTTGCCAAATCATGGCTCCAAATAGT